TTAAGAGAATACAACAGATCAAGTCCCTTTATTGTTCAACAAATCATTAACTTTGAGAATTAGCTTCACAACCTAAAAGATGAAGCATTAAATAAGCAAATGAAGGTATTCTGATCTCTATGATTTCTTTTCCTTCTCCCCTTCCCCTCCCCTCAAGAGACCAACTAGTCCTTTAGTTAGATACAAACTGGTTGTGGAAAAGTTTCATGATACAACTCACATGGGAAAGCACAAATTGTGTCATTCTCCTTTATGCACTAATGTTTCTCATGCAAATAGTCATTTCCATTTTTTCCCTCCCCTGTGCTAAACTGTCAGGGTACAGCATTTTCCTGTCTATCCAGCCTTCTTAAAACTGTAAAAAACTTGCTTGGAAAGTTAGTTTCAGTTGTCCTTCCTCCCCAGATATGATAAGCTGATTCTCTAAAGATTTTAATATATTGACATATGTATGCCAACTTCTGTAGAAAAATATTTGAGCTTATCAGCACACTTCATGTGCACATAAGTTCAGTGGAAAATGGATTTACATCATGTAACTCTATACTAGATCCTCGATACCCTGATATGGTTCATGACATTTTAGATGAGTACTTGTTTTCTCTTTTTCCTCCAATGATCAGCTTCAAAATGCTGCTTGCCATTTCATATAGCAAGAGCAGTGGAAATGAGCCCATTAAAATTTGACTATCTATTTTAGGAATAACAGTAGAGTAACTGGATAATTGGAATTTCTGGGTTTGATGATGTCACCTCCCACTCCCACCTCTTTTTTTTTTTTTTAAAGAGAGCAATTTTTTTCCTGAACTAAAAAAAAAAAATGTTATAGCCTGCAAGAAAGGTTATAGAAAATTATGCACACTGGGCAGCACTTTTTATAATCTTTAAGTTGTTCTACAGCCAAGTGTGGTTCATAATTTGTGTACTGATTTATTTTTTTGGGGGGGGTTTGGTTTTGTTTTTAAATATACGCTGTACATGCAATGGAATAACATTTGCCCTTTAAAGGGAATGTTGGCAGCACTTCTTTTAGAAAAGCAATCTTTTATGTAGCCATAGGAAACTATTAGCAGTCACTTTATAGAAATAGGCAACAGTTGTGTTACCTAAACTAATTTCCCAACCAGGATTTGGAGACTGTAGGAGAATTTCTCCTGAAAAGAAGAATTTTCCTTTCCACCATTCTTGAACTTTTTTCAAGCATAAGACCAATCCTATTACCACTACCTGAGGACCCATCATTGCTTTCAAACACTGTGGCAACATGCCTGTTTTTATGGCCAGGTGACAACTCCTTAATGGTTTCAATCTGTAGTACTAACTGGCTCCAAAATAATGCTAATGCATCAGCAGCTATCTAACAGCAAGCATCTTAACACAACACCATTGATTTCTATACATATTACTATATAAACAAGGTGAATTTAAAAGGAAATAAAATTAGACTATAAAGTACCAACAGAAGCTGCTTCCATGGCACTGCACAACAGAAACAGTCAGCTTGCTGTCAAACCTTGCCATGCTTAGGTGCAAGCACAGAGTACGCTTTGGAGAAAGCATTTGTTCATGGACACACAGGTTTCTAAATAGTATTAATTATTTGTGCTAACAGATAGAGAAAGCCACAAGCACTTGAACTTAATACACTCTAAGTAAAAAGAGAATAGCATGATAAATATACCTCTATACCTCCAAGGCTCAGTACAGATGGTATTAAAAAAAAAAAAACCAAAACAACCACACAAAGACACTGCGTCCCCCTCCAACCCAAACCAGCTTCTTAGTGAATGCCCATTCACTGAAGTACAAGAAAGTGAAATAGATACTTGAGGAAAACAGATGGGGATAACACCACCAAGAAACTAGCAGCACAGTTTTATTTATTACATAACATACAAAATAAAATTCTTGCCTATTCCTTTCTAGTTCTAGGGGAATTAGAGACATCTCTTTAGCATGGACAGGTCTTAAGTGAAAACCACATCCTTTTGAGACAGCTTTGCCAATGGGACAGGCAGAGGCCCCTCAGGACAGCAGATAATGAAGAACAACATCAGTAACAGGAGCTACAACGCACCCTACACAGTTTGTTTTAAACTCTAAAGTATTTAACAAACAACTATGAACTAGTTGACCTTATTGATGGTCATGTTAGATAGTAGCAGGTTCACGGGTACTTCTATTAAGTAAGTTATTAAATGTGTAGCATATAATACAAAAAATAAGTCATCTGAAGGTTTCCCTGGATTTTTTTTTTTTTTTTTCCCCCTTGACATTTCACACAGTGCAATGCATATATCAAACTAGTGCTTGATATGACAGAAAGAATCTTGATCAGTTTGCCACTAGGATCAACAGAGTCACATCTACTTCAGGGACAAGGCTGACAGCAAATAAGACTACTCTGCATATAGGCACAAAAAGAAAGCATAAGCAGATGAAAAGTTGAATTAAGTTTGGAGAAATTCAGTCCTGTTCATCGATTTATTTAATAAACCTAAACACCAGACTCTCCTAGTTTTATGCTTTACTGATCTTGGCTTTTGCTTGTTCCTTATTCCCATAATTCATTTTCCAATTAAAAAAAAAAAAAAAAAAAAAGCACAGTACTTCCTTGAATTCTCTTGATAAAAAGCTGCAGCTGAATGTGTTAACATAGGACTATCACAGAAGACAAAGGTGTCTCAGAGGCCCACACCTGGGTTACCCATTAATCCTCTTTGCTGCTTCTCCAGTTTTAAGATACTGTACAACAGCAGAGAGAATACCTTTTGAGAAAGAAAGATACTCCACGAGCTTCCTCTTTTGGAAAAAACAACAACACTTCATAACACATCTGTACATCAAGATTGTGCTTTCCATTTCTCTTCCACCCTGAGTTTTACCATCACTGTGTGCTGAAGAAGGCAGCCTATATTTCATCCCAAGACTCACAAAAAGTTTTCAATGACACTGTTTATCTGCTACCTTAGATTACACCTGCATCAAGAGCTGACAGAGATAAAGCTTGCTGGGTTAAAGGAAATATATTGATTGAAAATAATGACCAAAATTCAATGGGAATAATGGGCATGACAACAATGGCTACAATTCCCTGTATGTACACTGATATTTTCCAGCACATACGTTAAAAGCCACTAAAATACAGTTGTATGTAATGACAGATTGAACCATCTGGTACTGTCAAACATTTCTGATTAAGAACTTAGTTTTTAACAGCTTTCAGATTTGTGTTAGAAGTCAGTCATAAAAAGTCACATTACTCAAGTTAAAATGCACAGAAAATCACATTAGCATATTTCTTCTACTTGCATAACATCCTTTTTTACAAAAGCTACCCATCTCACTAAGCACACTAACTTCTGAAACCAGAAAGTTACTTGATAATCTTAAGAGAAACAAACTTGAAATAATTTTCACGTAACACAGAAATAACAACATTTTTGAAATATGGCTTCTACAATTGTTTCCAGAGGAAAGCTACGTAAAGGCATAAGGCGTAACATCATCCTGTAGAAAGTAACTTACATATTTTAATACATGGAAAATTTATTTGATGTATTTAACTAAATAGATTAATTCATTAAAAGATTAAATCCAGATCTAATACATAGGAAAAGGACTGCCTCTACTATCTTCAGAATAACTCCTAAAAAGTTACAAGATTTAATCCTGAAGAAAAGTTTACTTTATTTTCTGTGGAAATGATTTTGTACTTATATTAAGGTGCAAAGGTACTGAAGAACTCATTGAAAGAGGGACATATGGTGCCTTAAACCATAATACTGATCACTTGCCACTGATCCCTGTGTTCCAAAAGGCCAAGTGTTAAAACAGCAAATACTCAAAGGCTTTGAGCAAGAGTCAACACCAAAATACACTGCTTTTAAGAATCACACAGCAATATATATGCTGAAAATACTAAGATTCAAAAGATTAATATCTTTTGATACTAGTTTCAATATCTCAAAGCCTAAAGAAAAATACCTCATGTATAATCATTATGCTGCAGAGTGTTTTGCAGCCACAGCCTAGTAGTTTTGCTAAGTGAGAAGTTTGAAATTGGAGTTCTACTATAAGTTTTGGAGCTGAGAAGAAAACTATTATCCATAGTTGTACTATTGCAGCTTTTTAAAATTTCTTTTACAGTCTACATAAAACACAAGTATGAATTTCCTTAATTCCAAGATGCTCCATTGTAGGGTAGGATGGGGGAGGGGGCAGAAAAAGGAAAAATCAGTCTTATAGTCAGAGATTGCAACTGCTGTCCCGAGACTCAAGTTAAACAGTGCTGATGGGATACTTCTACAATACATATGACAAGAATCATCAAACTTTTGACTGACATTTGAATGCACAAGAATACAAGTGCTTAAACTGTATACACACTAGGAAACAAAACCATGTAGACATGTAAAGATGTGTCCATAGAAACACAGTGGACACAGATTCACATGAGAGAAATGTGCTTGTTATAAAAAGCAAAGCGATAGTTCCAGTTACAGTATATTACTAAAACCCATGAAACAGCATCTTAATGTATGGAGAAGTCATAACATGTTCATTACATGATTATTGGAAAACCATGTCATTAATAGATTGATTTTCCTTTTTTGTTGTCCCATCCTTATTTTGAGACTTAACAATAAGTATTCAACAGTCTAGACACAGAGATAATATCAGAAAACCGTAAAGTTTTCAGTTACTTGACTGCAAGCAAAGTCTGCTTCATCAAAGTTGCAACTTCTCTGCTTTACTCACATTCCTTTCAACTAAGTTAGAATTTGCTCCATACAAAAATGACTTGTAATTGTGAAATGTTGCCCTGAACTGATGTTAGAGCAAATCATTAGAATGGCATAAATTAAACAGTCATGATCACAGTAAGCAGACTAATAAAGCACATGGCTTTGTTCTTCTTATTTTAACTATATTCCTATGAAAGTATTAAACAATAAAAAAAAAAAATAAAAAATGTCTTTGACACTGTTTTTCCTTACCTCCCACTCTTTAGCAGCATCTTCAGTAGTAGATTCCTCACTAGCTTCAGGCTCTTCCTTCTTTTTAACCACTATAAATCCAGGCTCCCGAAGAGATTCTCCAGTATCTTCTGCATACATCTCTGGACTCCACTGGATAAAGAACACATACAAGTGGTCTGTCCTAGAAAAGTCAAGCAATGATATAGAAAAGAAAAAAAAGGTGAGTTTGTGATCTTTTGGGTCATGTCTAATAATTGTGAAGTATTTCAGGTTAAAATGAAAATACTTACTATTTCATGCTTTACTAGATATTATAGACACATTTGATAAAAGCTAGTTAATATTTTTTTTTCTTTTTAATTATAGGAAGCTGACACTGGAGGAAAAACAGGAAACAAGATGGCAACTGGCTAGCTGTGTTTTCATACGTAAGTGTAGCCCTTCAGCCCCTTCTTTCCTGTTGGAAACATCTGTTTACAATTAAAGTAACTTCCAAAATAGAACACTGAAGTTTTTTAATTTTATTTTACTATGTGGCACAAAAACTTCTACAAAATTGTAATTTAAAAACTTCTGCATGTCTGTTTTCATCATCCCTGAAGAAGAGCTGAACGTTCCCAAGGCATGTAACCAAAATTAGACCCACAAGGAAATAAAGCTGAAAGTGTATATACAGCCAGATCGCAAACTACAGACTCACTGCAGTATTGCAGCAAGTCCCCAGATTCAAAGTTACCTCCTTTTATGTTATCTGCCACAAAGGGTATGGGGTTCTCCAGTTTAGAAACAGAAAAACGCCTGAATTCCCAGAAGGAAGTTATTTACAACTCTAGTAGAAGTCAGTACTGCTTAAGCATTTCCTGTAGATGCACAGATGGAGCATTTAGAGAAAAGCCACGCAACAAATCCATTAGAATCTCTTCATCATGGAAAAGACAGCTTCAGAGCTAGAGCTTTATGGCTCTAGTTACCAAGAGTTTGAATATTCTTTATGTCTCTTTTCAGAGACACTACAATGAATCTGCACACTAGATTAGAACAAAGAACAATATGATCTTTTTTCCCCCCTCCTTCTCTTTACTAAAGCCCTGCAAAATTGAATAGTGGAAAACCAGCAAGACACACACAGCAGGGAAGTCTTAAGACCACAGTTACCACTTTCATGTACCTCTGTCTAAAAGGATGCAATAATAGTTTCTGAATAGAGTCAGTTATTTAAAGTCATCCTTGTTAAAATTAAGGTTTGTGGATGATACTGATGAAAGGAAAAAAAAACACAATCCCCAAACCAAATCTTTCTTTGCCAGCAAGTGAGAAAAAAACATGTCTGATGCGTAAGTCTAGATAAGTTCTACGACAGAAGTCAGGACAAGAAGCTGCAGACTCCTTTTGCACTGAATGAGTGCACAAATATCAATTTTAAGTCTTACAAGTAGGAAAATAGGAAAAAAAAAGAAATCTTGATGTTAAATTTGTTAAGAACTTAAAATTATGTATAATTACAGCACTTAAAGGTGATAAAACTTGATGTTTAAGGAGCTCTAAGACACTGCTTCCCAGACTGGCTCATCTGAGATTAAGAACACTGAAATAATGCAAGTTTGTCAGATGCCTATTTTTTTTTCCTTTCTTACCACTAGGTGACAAAAGCAACTAGGTTGACACCAAGTATTTCAATGCATGCAGAGCAGCATTCAGCAAGGTTAACACAGAATAAAGAAAACAAACATGCCACTACCACCACATGTGACTTTGTGTACAAAAACATAGGACACACATTGGATGTGTGAACAGATCACTAACTGTCCATGCAGTCAGAAAGAAAAATCCTTCACAAGTGGAGCAATTTCCAAAGAGATCAGATACCAACTGTAAACTAAGAAATGTCTTCTGAAATAGGTGATAAATTCTGCTTTATGCTGAAGATATGTACTTGCTCTGTACTGTTAGAAAATGCATCAGAGACAGTAATCACTTTAATCAGCTGGCTCAGAAATCCTTGACATATGTGAAATATTTATCTGTCTTCAATTGAAATATGATATGAACAGAACAGAAAATTTCTGCTGAATGTAACGACAAGAGGTCACTTGGCCCAGAAAGGATTAGCTATAGTGGAATCGGTGTGAAAATTTGACTCAAGAAATTGCATAATCTCCACCACTTAGGGGCTGTGGGGGTGATATTTATAAGCAGGTTAGTGAAGTGCTGGCATAGATTCAATTCTCCCTGTTAGAGTAGTCTGATGCAATTTCAGTCTATTACACACCTCCAAACACAGTGGATATGAGGAGGGGAAAAAAAAAAAAAAAAAAAAAAAAGACTACTACCTTTCTTGTGGCAGCCAACTTTTAAGTATGAAATGATTTTATATTTGTAATTCACCTTTTCTCCTTTAGATTAAAGAATCTTAAAGAATCCCACTTACTTCTAATTTTCTTTATATGTTACACTTTCTAGACATTAATTAGTCTTGCTGCTTTCCTCTGGACTCTAATTCATCCATATCAACTGTAGTGCCCTAACTGAACATGTAACGCCATTCAACTCAAAAGAAAAGATGGAAAAGTGACTTCTCATTGTGTGTAGGTATTTATATAAGATGACAGCTGATAGTTTTTTGTTCCTGTTTTTTTTTAGCCCCCTTCTTCTGACAAGGCCATAGTAATCTCCATTATCCCCAAAAATCACATTCAACTTGAAAATAAGTCCGTTTCCTGGCAGTAAAGATTGTTAAGAATTCAAGACTTCACCAGAGAGTGAACACTGATATCTCATGTCTTTGAATCACCACAACAAACTCAGATATTTTCCTAATACATATGTTTAAAGTTGCTTCCTGGAAAACTTAAAGATAGGACAAAAGGACTGCAGCCAAATACTCTTCAGCTTGCCCTCAGCACTTTAAGGAACAGAGACAAGTTTTAGAAAGTTGCCAAATAATGAGAAGCAAAGATAATGACAATAAAACTTTGTTGCAGAACTACTTCCTTCACCAGGCACCACTTAATTTCAATCTTTCTTTCATTGTTTACTTACTACAAACACAAGCCTAAACAATAAAATGAGAAACAACTAGGTAAACCTGTAAGTAATTCGAGTAGATAAGTAAAACTACAGAATGGTAATGAGGTATTCCAGTGTCAATTACAAGCCAATCATCAATATCCTCAGCTTTTGACCCTTTTTAGCATAGCTTTACAGTGTCACTGAAAAATTTTGCAGAGTGCGGAAAAAATTTAAGGCTGAAAGACTTAATGAAGTGTGATTTTTGCAGTCTACCTCCTCCTTACCTTTCTTGTGGAACAGCAAACCAGTACTCATGGTTTTTATCCCTCTGTGCATACTGTTGCATTGATGCACTTGCTTGTGAAACAAATGTTTTTCTCATGGGTTTTCCAACCCTGAGACGCAGAAACTTGTTAGACCGATGTCGTCGTTTTTCTTTCATAAGAGAAGAACCTGTTAGTAAAGAAAAAGTAAGCTATCCACAATGCGCAAAAGAGCTTAAGAAAAGTATTAGCCAATTTTTATTAGGCAATAGAGGTATATAGGACGTATATATGCATGAGTAGTAGGAGATACTGTAGCACAGGTAGTAATTACCTGTACGTTTTTTTGTTACAAAAATTTTATCAGTAGAATTAACTTCTGAGGACAACACAGTTGAATAATTCTAAGATTTGTTTGTTCCAGCCTCAGTCTGTACTATGACAGTCTTTCCTTCATGATTAAAAGCATTTCAGATGATACTCTCAACGCGTATCTGTCAACAATGAATCAGACATCCCTCCCACTGTTAAAAAAGATATTCCATATACATGCAAAAGATACAGCATTAAATAAGTACTTAAAGCCTGATTCAGATATGTCAAAGCTGTTCATTAGTTACGTTTACTTTAAAAAACTTCTGGCGCTACTAAGATGACTGAGATGAATTTTAATTTGTTAGCTATATCGAACACTTCAAAAGTATGAACATTACTTCAGGATGAAGAATACTGGATGTTTCAGTATAGGATTTTCCCCTCCAATAGCATACTTAATTGAACTAATAGAATTATATGATAATCCTCAAGGTCTGGATTTTCAAGTCAGGAGAAGGTAAAGGAAGAAGCCTTCTAAAAATTGTTTCTTTGCTAGATCAATTGCTCAAATCCTAGAGCATCTGCTCCAGCCCCAAGGGACCTTTTAAAGCAAGGATGAAGTAAATTTAAGTTTTGTTGTCATAGCTGACCATAAGAAGATGTGACCTACCTCTGGTGTTACACATACACACTGGTAAGTTCCAATTTCCTAGGACACTCACTGTTTTTTTTACAGCTGAAGTTCTCCTTCTGTGTCTATGCAGACTAGAGATAGACTAAGCACAAAAAACACCACCTTCTTGATCTATAAACATCTGTTTTAAGTTTTCTCAATCAGATTTTCACCATAAATTTACAAAATATTTTATCTTTCCACTTAATATTTAAATGTGCACCTTTTAATTTTCAGTTGCAATATTTCAGAATAATATCTGAAATTTCTGCAGTATATGGAATGATAGAATAGTCATGACATGCATGATTTGGAAGTATTTTGTAAATCTGTAAGGTCAAAGGTAAAGTGTAAGATTAAAAAAAAAAAAAAACAAACCCCAAAAGAATCCAAACTAAGCAAAAAAAAAAAAACAACCAACATTTCAGATGTTCATTTCAATGAGATTTCAGCTTCAGACCAGTATAATTTCTCCAAATGATCAACTACACCTAGCTTTTATTTCAGTACAGTTTTTAACAGTAATTGTCTGTAAAAATAGAATAGAATAAAAGAACAGAAAAATATTACAAGGGAGACCTTTTTATCTCCTCTAGACTACTCATAGTGATCAACTTGCATTGCATCACTTGTTCAACATTCAGGACAAATAGACTATCAATTCCAAACTCAGAAACATCTGATCTATGTGAAGATCAACAAACAGTAGTTCCCAAAACCCTAGATGCTCAAAACTCTCACAGAAGAGAGATTTAAAAAGACCTGTCTAGGTAATTTAATGATACAAAACTCATAGTATGACTACTTCAGAGTTTTTGTCCAACAGACAGGATACTAGACAGTGTTTCAATTTAGTGACCTAGTGTTCTTTCGTGACCTACTGTTAACAGATCTCACATATTTAGTCTCTGGTGACCTACAAGAGTTAAGCAATACATCTACACTTTTACCTTGGCTCTATTTAAATCTTCCTGTGGACAAAGCTAGTAGAAGTGTCACAAAATCTATTTAGATTGAGAAATATTAATTATTTATTGTTTTATTTGCATTCTGCTAGTACAACATACAAAAATCAGAAACATACAGTAATTCTAACTGAAGCTGGACTGAACTCATCTGCACAAATTTCCAGAAAGTAAGCTGTGCATTAAAAAAAAAAAGATTTTTTGAAATCACTTTTCTTATTTTACCCCCTAAACAGCGAGGCTGTAACACCATGTGCAGAAGGTTTCTAGCCAGCACCCATCTGACTGTATAAAGTCATTTTCCACATTATATGTGGCTATACTCTGTGTATGCACAGATCATCCTGCATGAAAAACCTTCACTCTCACTCAGTGATACAATCTTTTAGAAAACCAAACTAAAGCATTTGATACAACTGGATTATAAGTAATACTCAATTGTAAGAAAAGCAGCAATGGCAGCAAAGGATACTTGCCTTCATCAGCAACTACCTCTAACATTTTTACGCATAAAAGCCAAGCTTATCACAGAATGGTGCAACTATTAATCAGCTCCAAATTTCAAAGTTACTTCCTTAATAAAAGGAGAAAGTTAAGCCCAAACCTTCAGATTCTGAAGTGCAGGATGAATTTCTGTCAACTGAGGGAATATACTTCTCTATTCAGTACGATCTCAACTTCTAATTATTAAGGTGAACAATTTGACCTTCAAATGCACTTCACGTAGAATCATAGAATGTCTGGGCTGGAAGGGACCTCTAAAAGTCATCTAGTCCAACCCCCCTGCTATAAGCAGGGACATCTCCAACTAGATCAAGCTACTCAAAGCTTCATCCAGCCTGATCTTGAATGTCCCCAGGGATGGGGCCTCCACCACCTGTCTGGGCAACCTGTTAACCTCATACTGAAGAACTTTTTCCTAATGTCTAACCTAAATCTCCCCTTTTCTAGCCTAAAGCCTTTACCCCTCGTCCTGTCACTACAAACCCTTGTGAATAGTCCCTCCCCTGCTTTCTTGTAGGCCCCTCTGAGGTACTGGAAGGCTGCTATAAGGTACTCCTAGAGCCTTCTCTTCTCCAGGCTGAACAACCCCAACTCCCTCAGTCTGTCCTCACAGGAGACTGCTCCAGCCCTCGGATCATTTTTGTGGCTCTCCTCTAGACGCGCTCCAACAGCTCCACGTCTTTCTTGTGCTGGAGGCTCCAGAGCTGGACACAGGACTCCAGGTGAGGTCTCACCAGGGCAGATTAGAGCAGCAGGATCACCTCTCTCCATCTGCTGGCTACGCTGCTTTTGATGCAGTCCAGGATTTGATTGGCCTTCTGGGCTGCTGCTGCACATTGGTGGCTCCTGTTCAGCTTCTGATTTACTGGTACCCCCAAGTCTTTCTTCAGTGGACTGCTCTCTAACATGTCCCCTCCCAGCCTGTAGTGGTGAACTTGTTTGCCCCTCCCCAGGTACAAGACCCTGCACTTGGTCTTCTTGAACCTCATGAGGCTCACCTGAGTCCACCTCTCCAGCCTGTCCAAGTCCCTCTATCAGTTTGTGACAGGCATTGTAGCTATATTTTCTTTCCAAGTCCCAAAATATTGCACAATTAAAACAACTAGTTTATCTCCATCAGTAATATAGTAGGGTATCAGAAAGTGATCTATGAATTTTTTATAAAGCAAAATCAAATACACACAAACATCTTTCACAGTTACTCAGAAAATACACAAGTTTTTTAAATTTTTTTTTAAATAATTATTTAATAAGAATTGATTCAGGATAATGTCAAACTAATAATCCTAGGACTTGATCTTTGCAGAGGAGTAAAGGTACTCAAGAAATAAGCCTTATTGTTCCCCATATGCATAGCATTAGTTTCTTACTGTCTAGCTCTTACTTACCCAGAAACAGATCTTTTTGTATGCTCAACCTTTTTCTAGTCAGCATGGAAGTATGAAATAATGCCAGCGAAACAAAGTTCTGAAAGTATCAAGCAATGTTAAGCCTCCACTGGTTTCTTGTTCACATTATAAATCTTAACTACAAGGTATGCATGCTACAAATAAGAGGAGATTAATTCCCTGAAATTAGTTCATACATATGTATACTGGAATCAAAATTTGACAGCTACCAGACTGCTATGGAATATTTTTAATTTTGAGCTCTACAGTGACCCATGCATCATAGATCTAATTTTACAGGCTCATTTAGATCTCCTCTACAAAGATAGTGTTTTAATATCACAAATATCATTTCAGTGAAGAAACATGACAGTAAGAAAAGTTCCCATGTTTTCAGTGTCCTGAACGGTATATTCCCTACTAGTTTAAGGTATAACTTAAGTATATCTTCAAGCCAATGAGAAATATAAGCAACATATGGGGAGATGTGTTCTACAGAACGAAAACCAGTGGAAATTCTGATGAGGTGGGAGGAGATACACCGCAAATCTGAAGGCTAACACAAATACTGACTCACCTTCTAATTGCCCATCTCCCACATTCACAATTTTCTGACTAATTTCTTTGTGTGAATCCTGGTGCATGTTTTCTCTTTGCTGTCTGGTTTGTTGCATAGTGTGGGTCTTCCAGAGTTTGCGGAGTTCCTCAACTTCTGTCTCTGAGTCTTGCGTTCGCTCTCTCACTACTCTTCCTTTGCTAGCTGTCTCTTTCTTTTGAGATTCTGTGCTATCTTCAGGATGTGGACATTCCTCTCCCATCTTACTCTCTCCTTGTGGTTCATTTCCCAGTGAAGCATCTTGATCATTGTCCACTTCTGCCTCTTTGTCATGCTCTTCACTACCATGTGATCTTTGCAAAGACTGCTGGAGGACACCTGCAGTATTTTCACTAGGTTCTTTTTCCCCCTTTATAGATGTTTCATCACCTTCCGAACCTAAACTGTGGGTACCAAACTGTTTAACATTTGCAACCATTTCAGCACTGCGTTTTAAGTCACTGGCAGCTTCATTTGAGTTTGAAATGATTGTTAAACATTCAGCGCTTGTCTGGTTTATTGTCTGGACAGATTCTGATGATGCTCCAGAAGATTTGTCTTGTCGAAGCTCATCTGAAGAAACAAGTTCCTCACGTATTGGAGAGAGTTCTGACTCTGTGAAAACGTCTTCTGAAAGAGACTCCTCTGTGCTCCTCGGGGCAGTACTGGCACTGTCATTGCCTGTGTCTCGCATCCTGGAATCCGTTTCATCTGTATTGCTCTTCGTAGCTCTCTTGGAATGGCAAGGTTCCCTTACAGAGAGCTGTTCCACGTCTCTGTTGAGCAAATAAGAATGTTACCATAGCAGCTGCCCCTCTTCTGTCATACTCTTTTCTCTGCTAGGTTTTTTTTAGCACTGAAAAAAATTTAAGTGTGCTCTTAAGGAGGAAAAAAACCCAAAAACAACTGAAAAAGAAACCACGAAACAAAACTAACTAAAACAACCTAACCCAGAGCACCAGTAATAAGAAACAAGCATAAAATATGTTCTTGTAACAGTAAGCTTATGGCAGACCTTTTGCCAGCATGACATAGATAGGACTTCCCAACTTCAGGACATTACTTTTCCAAGTAGAAGCTCTCCTATTAAACCAACACGATTCTTTGAGATGCTTTAGAGTAAAAATAAAATAAAACAACAAAAAAAAAAAAAAAAAAACAAAAAAAAACAGGAGAAAACCTACAAAAAGCTGCACACAACCACAAACTCTAAAGGCAGAAATCCTCCAAAATCTTTCAAGCTTTGCCTACCGAAGAGGCCAGTACAATTGTACAGACCTGTCCCACTATCACCCTATTACAAAGCTGACACCCAGCTCACTGGTAAGAAACGTACGGCAAAAATCCTCTGGTCTAAGCTTAATTGTCTCATCTAGTCAATGCAACACCCAACAGTGATTAGTCTCTTCACCAGACAGGTACTAACTTTAGGATACCACTGTTAGGTAAAATAAGTCCCAAACTACTTGGTACAACTGAACAATTTAAAGAGCAGGAATCAAATGTTCATAAATGGTGTAATAAAAAAAGCAAGCATAGAAGAATAACTTATTTTTCCCAAAAGAAACAACATTACTCAAACCCGTCTGTCAAAATAAGCTAACCAGAAGTTCTACAAGTTTTAGAAAACAAGGACTACAAGGAGACTGTGAATATGCTCAACTGTATCTACGTGACTCAAGCTTTTCCATCTTGAAGATGAATAATCTCCCATCTTGAAGAAGAATAAATCCATTCTACATTTCTATAAAACTTGATTCAATTAGGTCATATTACTTGTATTACCAAGACTGCTAAAATTCAGGATGTTTGCAATGCATATGCACCCCCTTACCCAAGCATAAATATGAAGCTGATATTACGCCTATGCTATTGTATTAATTTTGCTTACAAATCATGTGGATGAGCTTAGGATTTGTCACTTATTAGATTGGGCTGTTTTCTTAACTTTTCAGGATTATGCTGGCAATAGGTGCTTTTGGACAAGCACAACCTAAGATTCATGATTCGTAAAAAAATCAGTAGGTTTTCAGGTATTGTTTTCTCCTGGCTTATATGCAGAAACCATACAACACAATTTCAGTTATAAGAACCAAAGAATACATTGGTTTTATGATCAATTTCCATTAAATTAATAATCTTATTTTCAGTATTCAGATTGATTTTCCAATTTTAAACAGTATTCCAAGTTTTAAACAGTTTGATGGTTGGCAAAATTATGGAAAGAACAGGGTTAATTATAACAGTGAAATATTTAGGAAAAAAAAAACAAATAGTGAGAAAACAATTTAATTCTCAAATACCTTAAGACACACAAGTCTTGTTAGATCTAGCTCTTGGAAGTTCTGGCTACAGACTTAAGAAATTTGAATTTTATTTTCCCCAAAATTTACAAACTTGTCTCAAATTTTGATGAAGTTAATAGCAAAAATGCCGGGACTGAAGAAAACACTAGAAGTTAGTGTTCCATGTAATCGTTTATAAAGTTGTCAGGAAATATATTGGACATACAGAGCTCTGAATGTACCATGTGACCTTTTATTAGTAGAAAAGTTTTCATTCCATATGCATTTATATTATAAACAAACCAAAATGGATGTGCTACAAGAGCACAAAAATCAACAGGATGTGGAATGTATATTTATAAGTCAACAAGTGGGTCATTAAGAAACTAAACATGCTAGTGAAAAGGGTTGTTTTACAGCTGCACTATTATGATTCAAACAGGTAGATGAAAGAGTAGTTTTATTTTCATAATGTCATTATCTATATTATACACCAACTGAAGTAATAACTACAAGCAACTTTTTAAGACTCTATTTGGCAAATACAGCTTTTGGAAAGCAACTTTGGTAAAGGCATAATCCTGCATCAAAAGCCCCAAGAGTTCCATCATCAGATACATTAGTTTCTCTTTCAATAAACACATGACTTCAGGCAGCAAACAAGACCATGACAAGATACCAGTTTATTACCATGTCTCTCCTAAAACTCAAGTTAAAAATGGCAACTGGCAAGTTATTTCTCCTGAGTGTCCAGATATCTAAGATTATCAAGAAACGCATGCTTAGCATATTACCTGTAAGAACTGTAAAAGGCCTTTTGTCAGGGTTACTGAGTATCTTTACACCTTACTTAAAATGATTGCATTTTTTAAGAGTTACACATCAGGCAAACAGCTTTACTTTAACTTACATATAAACAACTCTGCTGTGGTTAAAGGAACCCACTTCCCAGCAGTTAGGTGGTCAGGGTAGTCTGCAAACGTTTGCTCTTTATGGGCTGTGATAGGCAAAGGTGGCATGATTTTTTTTTTTTTTTAAATCCTTCTTGGATTTAACGTTAGAATTTATCCTATTTCTGAGGGCAGTGCAAAATTCAGGAAACAGAATGGAACAAAGCTTTTCTATAATGCTGTTTGAAGTCTGTTTTAAATGCCTCCATGCTAAATATGATTAAAGTGATAGTGATTAAAGCTCATCAATACAAATTCCTTCTGTTCACTTCAAAACTACACACAAAGGCAAACTTACAGTTCTTGCCCTAGCCAAAAAGCGAAAAATATATACTCCTAATGCCATAAACATATACGCAAATCTCAGAAAATTAGTCTTATGATCATTTATCAGAACAACAAGAGTTTGAAAAGCAAGTGGAAAATGGTAAAAATATAAAGATTTGCACTTAGAGCTGTTTAAGCTGAACTTTTCTATTCTGTACCTAATTTTTTAAATGACTAAAGAACCAAACATCTGTTACTGTTTTCATAGTGGGGAAGCGGCAGAGAAAGTGATGTGGTATCTCTTGCTATACACCGACTTTTAAAAGAGACTATTTGAGAAAATTAGAATCCATATATGGAGAAAAGATTTATTCTATATACTATATAGGATGTGAGAACTTAAGATAAAGCAAGTTTTATCAAGGGGCTTTGCAAACCAATCATTGATGTTGTTCTTAAAAAAAACAACAGAAGAAAATATGGCTCTGCTAGTTTTGTATGGTCAGCAATGCGGCTACAGTTCATATTTACTCAAAGCTTTATAAATACTATTCTATCTTACATGGTTAATGAATCCTTAATTTTGCTGTCCACAATTTCCTTATACAGAGCAGCTGACATCACTTCTTCCATTGGACACATGATGCCATACTCTTCACAGCCGTTCTCTTGGACCAGAGGATCCATTTTATGAGGATCAAACATTATATTATTTGGCGTCACTAGCAGCACACCATTGACCGTACCCTAAAATGAGAGGGAAAAGAAGTGGTAAATTTTTTTTCCTTCATATTTCAGCTTATTCTCCATTTTTTGTAAGAAAAAGGATTTTTCTAATTTGTTTTTAAAGCATGTTTATATTTATATTTAAACAATTTTGTACAGTTTCTTGTCTTTTGCAGTCATCTATAAACATAACCATTTTTCTGGGGAAGCAAATTAATGCCACCTACTTTCCCAAAAGAAAACAGTTTTGTTCCTCACAATTACTTAATAGCTGGGTTGAGTACAAAAGAGAAACCCTTAAACCTTAAAGGATATGCTAGGCAGCTTCTCTGTGATAAAGCTACATCCTTCTCAGATAACCAGAGGATTTAATGCTAGCTTTGCAAGAAACTTCAAGCATTGTTTAAAACCTGACTCTTAACTCTTCTCACTTTCTGCTATTTAATTAAAGAACAAAAAGAGAGAGATCTTAAAACACTGTAATTTATCTTCACTTTCTTCACATAAAAGCAACAGCAGTATCACATACAGGTCATTTTAACTTAATGGACCTGTTGACTGACTGGAAAAATACATTTATAGAATAAATAGATTAAAAATATTAAGGATTTCTAAAGATGCAGCTGCATCAAGATGCAGCTTCAGACAGACTTAATCACAGTAATACTGCTGCAGTACAAGAACACAAGCAGAGTTTGAACATGTAATAAGAAAAAAACTGAAGAAAGCTGATACTCATACAATGAGGGGGAGGGTTCCTATGCAATACAGGTATCAAGTTCACTTACAATACATTGAAATGTTGGGGCTTTTTGAGCATTATAAACACATGCAAGCACGAACAGCAGTTACTTTCCAAAGGAAACTCAATAGTTTGTTAGAACAGCAGATTTTGAACTAAAACTATGAACTGGAGGAAATCTAGCTTCAACAGGATAACAGTAAACCCTTAGTTACAGCTCTTGAACCCTAAAGATTTTACAAATTTAGAAAGGCATTCAAAACTTTTCTGCAAGAATCACAAAAGATTGCTCCTTGTGCTGTTGAGGCTTATTAGGAATTGAATAAAGAACCAGCCCACTGATGAAATGGTCCCAGTGATTACAAACATTGCGCATTGGGGAGTATTGTTTGTTTTCGGTTTTGTTTTAAGACAACATTACCAGCACAGCCTGAAATACAACTATAATCCTTCTGAGTTCCAAAAATTTATTCCCACCACTGTGATGTTTGGTGACCATCAACAGCAGAAAAATAAAGATGCCATACAATGAGCAGAAAACTGAAAGTTATAAAAACCAAACCAAAAACTGTCTACAGCAATGACCAGCAGTATCACTATTCCAGAAGGATGAAAACAGTCTCAATAGCAGCTCAAGCATCTCTACTTAAAACTGTTTGGTGCCTAGTCAGGTTTTACCTGTGCCTTTAGCAGTACAAAGTATGTGCTAAATGCTTTGATGTCAGCAGAAAGTTTATATAAATTCCAAGGTGTTTAAGACATTGAAACAAAACTCTCACTGGCATTTCTTTCCCATCACTGTATTATGGAACTAGACCTTCAAAAAGGAAATACTAAGAGTGATTGTCCATAGAAGTCTACATTTGGTTGTATCCACTGTAGTACTAAAAATAAATTTAACATGACTGCAATAGTTACTGAGTCTACCCAGAAGAACAACTGCTTCTCTTTTAAACAAATACTGAAGTAATTAATTCAGTAGATGATCCAAAAAAGCAGCATAATTTCTACATTTGAGCTCTTTCATTAATGACCACACATGGAAGTGGAATTCTATCAATATTCTCCAGATATCACCCAGAAAAGTCAAGGACATAGCTTTGATGGCAGCTGGACTAGATGATCATCACAGATCCCTTCCAAATGAAATATTCTATTCTTTTACTGCCCACATGTTACATGTGTATCTTCAGCACAGTCAGGCTGGAGAGAAGGAAAAAACCAGCCAACCAACCAACCCCAGGTAAGGTTGTATGAATGCTCTACCTAAAAGATTTAAATGTTCAACACCAACTTCTAAAATTACGTATTAGTTAGTAGAAGCAATCACTAATCAAGTTCACTGGAGAACTCTTCATTTCTACACTAAGATTTTGTCTTCATTTGTTCACTATTTCATGAACCTTACTTGATAAATTAAGTACACAGAAGTACTAAAGCTTTTGAGGCAATAAAAGGAGATGACATTTTTCTATCAAGGGGTAAGCTGTCAAAACTGATGTATCACCCTAGTTGCCAATGTCCCTGGCTTTATTAAATACAAATTCCTATGCTTTATCTGTGCTCTCAAAAGCAAGTTAAAAGACTGCTTCAGGTGGCAGTTCAGGTCAAAAAATTGATTAAAGAATGTTTTATTGCAAAATAAGTTTAAAGTTCCATAAGTCAATTTTACATCACTTATCTGAACAGTAGAGAGTCACAACATTAGAATAATGTGTTTGAAGAACCATTTCCACATCATCTCATTTCAATTACCTTGCTTCAGCTTGTATTTTAGCAGTTCAGAAAACACGAACTTATCCCTCCAAATCCCACAGGTCAGGTTAGTCAATATTTTAAATAAATGTCATCATATCCAGGACAGAAGTCTGTTTCCAGAGCAAATTTGAATGTGTTTAAAGAAATGTAATCTAAACATCACAAGGTACTATACAGACAGTGAGGAACAGTAGATGTAATTTTTCTGCAGACAAACATTCAGCCAAAGAAGTGTGCAAGACTACTGACTACATAAGAAAAGTTTGAGAGACCTTCTATTACAAATGGAAGCTTCCTTAGAACAGTGTGACAATGACCTGTTTGATGGCAGAAAAAAAAGAAACAAATCTGTACATCAGGCAGTTGTCCTTCACACGCACAGAAGACTCTAAAGCTTACTTCTGCAGCCTCAAAGACACAGCTAGAAACCTACAAGCTGCTTATCTTCATCTTACAAGAAGTTGTCAACACCAACTGGTAAACACATTTACCTATTTACAAATACTCAGCATAAAAATTAAAGTGTAACACCACTTAGAATTTATCACACTGACAGAAAAATTGGGAATTAAACCTTTGGAACAATCAAGATTTTATGTGTATTTTACTAAGAAGTTGATCAACCACTTGCAACAATTATAAGCAATTTAAAGACTATAAAGGTATCTTGAAGACACCAGCTTCATAGCACATCAACAAGAGATGATCCATTTCATTGTTACTTTGCAAAATGACAACAGAAGGCAGATTAACACAACATTTCTGGCTCAAGTTCTTTGATATGGTCCACAGTTACCATAGGAATACTTCAGGGTACTTCTCTAGATAAGAACTGCTGACCAAATGTAAAGGCTAGAAATTACATTAATAATACACTAACATCACTAATATTTCTGTCATTTTTTATTACTACTACCAAGGATCACTAAAAGTTAACCTAGGTAAAAAAAAAAAAGTTAACCTAGGTAGTTAGCTAGGTAAAGCTCAGGTAACAGCCAGATGATAATTTTTTAATTAGTCTTTTCCAGACATCCCAGTGTTTCTGCCACTTTCTCTAACAATTTCTGTGACTCCTTTGTAGGACAAATGGCTTTTGTCTTTACTACCTTCTAACTCGTTTGCAAGAGTAAAGCTGCCTTAAAACCTGTAGAACATGTATTACTCAAAAGATGGGAGTTTCTAGCAGACACAGAAACCAAGTACTGTTGATTCTGTGAAGATAAAAAAAAGGGGGGGGTAACATCAGAACAGAACATGTAAGTGGAAGAATACATGCATCTAGCCAACTACTAGTCAAGAACTGCTCACTGGACTGTGCTAGTCTTCCCTAAAAGGTGGAAAATGAAGCAGCTTCAGGCATTGAAAGGTAACACCAGTTTTGCATCAGTAAAGATAAAAATTACATCCTTTTTAAAACCAGAGTACCTGAAACTGCATTTTTATGTTGATTTGCCATCATGGATCAGACAGACTTCTATGTTAGCATTCCTACAACACACATTCTCAGACAATAGTTCTGAAGTATGAGCCATAGAGGAACTCTTGGACATTTTAGTACCATGCACTCATTTAAGTGATGCCACGAAAAAAAACCTACAGCATACAGTTCTACAGTGACTTTTGATAACCTGACCTCACTCTGCTATCTTACAAGCACTTAAGACTGATAGCCTAAAGCCTCCTCTCTATATTATCTTCTTGGTCGCTTGCGTTTGGAGCAGGAAGAAAGTTCTGAAGCTCCCTCTCTGGCCTGGTTGAGCTGCTGAAAATGTTTTCAGTGTTAAATGTATTCTTCATAGTCAAGAACAGCATGGGGTGTTACTTACTAAGTGAGGCTTTCCTATGCCCTCACCTACCCAAAACAACACAAGGACAAGAGCCCAAATTCTCCTTTGTGGTCATGCTCTCTCATGTTGTGTCTTTAGCAAAGATCTGTTCTATGATAATCAGATATTTGCTCATCATTTTAGAAACATCTGACTTTATTTTATAGAAATTCAATTTCAAAATGTTTTCGGAAAATTACTTGTACCAACAATGTAGCTCGAGAGTGACAGATCAGTAAATCTGATCATGAGCGTAAGCAAAAAGATTGGGCTATGGCATGCACACTACAAACTCGTACAAGACTCCAGTATGCTGCCAGTGTTTGCTCTAACCTAAATTTTAGTTCTGAGGAAAAAAAGAATTAAAGGACAGGAGAAAAAAAAAAAACAAAAAAAAACCCTATAAGCAGGTCAATTGTTGATAAAAGATGATGTGTAAGGTGAACCTGCTTTAGCAGGAGGGTTGGACTAGATCTCCAGAGGTCCATTCATTCCAACCCCTACTATTCTGTGACCATGGGAAACAGTTTTTTAAGACAACTTCCACAAAATAATCAGTGAATTGTTTCTCTTGAACCATACTTCCAACTAGGTGTCAAGGAAAAAAAGTAGTCAAAAGCACTGTCAATGAAAGGGAAGTAAAAATTAGGCTCTGTATATAGCTACTAAGTAGCTCAACATGACTTTGTTACAGGAAGTTCTGGTTCTCTAAAAGACTCCTCAAAATAGTACTTGTAGAACTGCAGAAATGAAGCTTCCTGTATTCAGTACTCATTCTAAAGACATGCAGTGAATTTCTGTTCAGGTGAAGCGCAGATTTATCAACCTCGAGGAGAAACACTGAGCCACTTTGTAACTGAAAACCATGTGGACACACTAGGTTATTAAAAATAGATTCCTTTAGTCTTAAAGCTGGTCCAGAAAAATATTAATCCAGATAAAGCAAAAACGTGCATATTGACAGTAGATTAAATCTGAATCAGTTTTAACTTCTTTCCATTAAAATTCCTTAACCTTCTGGAAGTGGGAGCTCTAAATCCTGTACAACATCTGAGATGAAGACTCAAACAATTGTTATAAAGGAAGGATTAGAGTCAAACTTTGTAATATTGCTGAACCCAAGCATTAAGGCTAGGCAGTTCAGTAAAACACACTTGTTAGAAGGTTTGAGAGGACTTTTGACAAACATTTTTCAACCAGAAGTTAGCTCTAAATAATTCCATTGTGTTCTTGAACACACAAAGTAGGAAAAAAACCAAATCAACAAAACTGTAATCCATGACTTCTGAAGCTTTTATCATAAAGATAATTTAGTTTTATTCTTTGTTTCTGATATATGTTTTGAACTATGTCAGTGTCCTCCATTTTACTTCATGAAAAACGCATTTGTGCTTTTTGGGCCCATCTTTCCAGTTTGGTTTTTAAGCCTTAGTAATTTTCCTTTACCTACTACTTTTCAAAACAATTAAACTAAACTAGCAAGTGAAAGAAACAGCAAAGAATCTCAAAGCTCCTCTATTAATTTCAGTTACAATCAGGCAAACTGTTTAAGGTATCTCTTGCTGCCTCAGCAAAGAGTGCAAAGCATGAAAAACCTGAGAAAAACTTGTGGCTGCAGGAAAGGGCACACCTATATACACATTAAACTGTGAGTTAGCGGGTGACCCCTGATCAGGACACAGCATATTCACATCACCCTGTGTCTAACTATGCCCAACACACTGCCTCCAACAACAGCCATGACTCTAGCAGAGTAAGTGCTACCAGGTCCCAGCCACTGCATCTCAAAGAATTCCTGTGTGCTTGTCCAAGAGGTCACAGCTGTGACTAAAACCAACTCCAAACACATACAGAATAAGCAGTCTTGAAAAGTGAGAAACAAGACAGTCTTAATGCAAGAGCTTTTGCATATGTGAAGTTAAACACATTGAAAAAGAGGCTTTCACTAGATTTTACTTTATGAGCATCAGTCACAGTGACAGATGAGACATCACATCTGAAGCCCTATAAAACAGTTAACAACAAGCTTCAGAATCACTTCCACAGTGAGAAAAAGAAGATTAATCTTTTAAGCTTTCTCAAAAAAACATATGATGGTGATAAATCTTCATAAGGAAATGTATCAAGGAGAAGATAAGACCACAGGCCAGAGGACATCCCTACCACATGTGACACAATGGCTAAATTACATGCTATACTTAATAAATCTCTCACTCAAGTCTGAGCAAGCTAGCATTCATTACTCTCCATACTCCCCTCCCAAATATAGACTGATAACTGCAGTGGTTTATGCAGCTCTTTGGAAACAGAATTCTTTGAGCTCTTGGAAAACAGGCTGTAAAGATGCAACTCAAAGACAGACGCTGTGAACACTCTCCATTAATATTCCAATGAGGAATCATGGCACACAAAAGACATACTGCAAATTTTAAACCCAGATCGTTTTCCAGTACAGTGAATTTCTAACAGAGGCTCACAGTTCTCAATTCCTCTGTATTAGAGCACTTAAAACTGAGAAGTAATGACTTAACTAGGATCAGCCTAAAAAAGTCACCTAATGGCAAAATGCAAGGAGTAAAGCAAATTAACTGCAAAGTAGAACAAAGTAGCAAACAAAGCCTTTCCAGTACATGTCTTACCAACTTTTACCAACACAGCTTTTGCCAATATAGATGTAGTGTCAAGAGGCTTGAAGTGTAGATATACATATATCTGCACTTCTTTTCACCAGGAAGTAATAATAATAAAAAGAGCGATTTTAGAGATTCTTATTAATCTGTTTACCACTAGTGTAACTTATCTGCAAAACTATTGTTGAGTAACACAGCATCAGCAGTAATTGTATATACACGCCTAAACTTCAGGTGAAGGAGAAAGCACTGGAAGTATTTTGAGTTTCTTTGCATTCATTCAGCTTGAGTGAAAGCATGGCTTTTCATGATTAAAGTATATAACAGCCATTTTTCTGTAGAGTGGGAAGGTAATGCATTTTGTTTTTTTCCTAGAGCATTCTTAGTTAAAGTCTTTGGACACGATCTCAGTCCCTAAAACTCTGCGCAAGGCTTGTGTGTCTATGAGCTGAATGGAAGCTAATTAAGTGCCACTAACTTGGAGGTTTGTGTGTAAGGACAGAGAGAACTGTAAGAAGCGCTTCAAAAATAGTCAAGAGTTCTACCATACCATACCGTACCCAATACGGAAGCGTTGGTTTACAGACTCAGAGGTCAATTCTGCTCCCACTATTTGGCTTTAGGAAAATGAAATTGAAGCTATGTAACTACATACTTCCTTATAGTAAAAGGCATGTTATTCTCCACTGTAAGTAAAGAGAATTACTTACTAGAGCTACTAATACTTGAACAGACCTCATTCTTTCAACACAAGAGAATCACTTAAGAGTACAGGGGAAGCCGATCACAGGTTAATTGTATATTAACTGCTTATATCACACCTGAGAAACAAGTGGTTTAGGAATCCAAAGGAAACAGAATTAAAAATAAAAAGATCTATATACATGGATCTGTGTATGTGAGCTGACCCACCTACCTATCAGTAAACAAATTTTACTGTATGTTAACAGTTTAAACATACTTCATTTTTCCATTGCATACAGTAACAGTAAAACCTGAATGTTTAAGTACCTTGCCATTAGTGATGTACTTGCAATTAATTTTCAGAAACTTCTCTGTAAATGCTTCTTCCTCTTCAGAGGTGGATGATACCACCCTTGTAGGACGAACACATGCATGTGCTGGGGAAGCAGCCGACTCCTTCCGCTGGATTCCATCTGGATCCTGAAAGGGAACATAAAGGAACTTAGCAACCTGCCTTGAAAAGTATTGAGAGATCTGCTCTGCAATTTTTTTTTTTTCCTTTTTCATTGACATAAAAGCAAGTGTAAAAATCAGCTTCCAAATCCACCGCAGTTTAAAGGACTACTTTAATCTGACAGTGCATGTAACTCATCGACCACAGCTTAACCCACCCACGATACAAAATTCTCATGGGCAAAAATATTCAGAAACCACATGGAAACAAACAAAACAACAATCAGAACTTCTTATATAAGAAAACCACCAAATACACTGCTGCATTCAAAATTTATTCTCTGACTTCAACAAATAGAAGTCCTATTAAATGTCCTCTTTTATCCTTGCATAATATATACTACTTTATGTGGGAAGGACCCTCTGAAGGTCAGCTAGTCCAGCCCTGTGTTCAAAGAAGGCCCAAGCCTACACTGGATCACGTTGCTCATGGCCTTTCCAGTTGAGTTTAAGTCTTTAAGGCTGGAGTTTCCACAGCTTCTCCAACAAACCTGCTCCAGCGTCTAACCACTCTCACCGTGAAAAATATTCTCCTGTTTTTTAACCAGGACCTCGTGTAGCAACTTGCAGCTGTTGCTGCCCACCATTTCACCATGAACCCCTGAAGACCCTCTTTTTCTCACCCCTCTAACCCATCAGTTAAGTAGTACTAATGACCAACCTGATTTCTGCATTGCATTTTCTTCTCCAGACTATACAAACCCAGCTCTTCCAGCCAATCCTTGTGCTTCCTACATTTGCATGTCCTGATCATCTTAATGACCCCTTCACTGGACTAGCTCCAGCATGTCAATCTGTCTTGTACTGGAGGTGCCAGAAGTGGACACAACACTGCAAACACAGCTTGAACATCATTTAACATCTCCACCAGGACATAACCACTAGCCTCAGCCTTTCCTCACACCTTAGTATTCCTCTGCAAAACTGCTGTGTAACTAGCCAGTCTTCACCCTGTATTGCCACATGGAGATCCTTCTGGCACAGGCAGGTCTTAGGTGTTGAACTTCATGAGGTTTCTCTCCAGACTTTTTGATGATCCTCTAACAACCTCCCTTGCTCTGCCCTCCACTGTACTGACTACTTTCCCTAATTTTTGCTGTCCCCATCCCCCACACTTGCCAACAGTGCATTCTTTCCTTTGTCCCACCATTCAGGCCACAGACGGGCAGGTTAAAAACAATGCTGGTCCAAATACAGTCCCCCAGGTATTCCTAACTGTCCACCACCACAGAAAACAGACAAAAAATTACCAACCACACACACAAATGCTGAATGACTTTAAGCCCAGAGATCCTGCCAATTTTTCCAGCCAATCCTGTATTCCACCCATCCAGTTCACTTTTTCCAGTGTATAGTAAGGCTGTTTTAAGACAGTGTCAGGGGCCTGGCTCTAGTCAAGGTCAGTAACATGCACTGCTTTTCCCCCACGTGCTGAGCCTGTTATCTCATCACAGAAAGCAATCTCTTTGGTCAGACACGGCATCTCCTTGCTAAATTCAATCCGGCTGTTCCCATCCATCTTTGTTTTTCACAGTCCTGGATATAACTTCCAGAGGATTTCCTTCATGACCTTCCTGGGCAGATGACAACTAGTTATCTATCCTGCTGTCTAACAGTATACCCAACAAACTAGTGAACACAGAACCCTACCAGGGACAGGACAGAGAAAAAAGCTACAATTACAGTAGACAGACTGTCCCAAAGCCTATGTTATAGTCACAGAAATCCTGTTTTGGAACTTAAACAACTATTACAGACTTCTATTTCATACATAATTCATATTTTCAGTTATTAATAAAATACTACTATTGAAAAAAGTGAACTTCTATGCTCCTTCTGGTTTTCTGATTTTCTGTTCAGTTCTACTCAGCAGTACAGATTGCAGCTAAATGCCTTTACTCATATCCCAGGACATTATGCACAACTGTTTTCAACTCATCTCTCTGGCACTACCTTAGCCTTTGCCTGCATCTTTCCATTTCAGTTAGAAAGCAAACAAACAAAAAAAACACCCAACAAAACAAAATACAAAACCACTTAGAGAACACTGAACTGAATTTTGTCAAAAAAGCTAACAAAGGTATAATTAAAAACCAGACTTTCTGGAGACAAGTTCTTTTTCTATGTATGCCTTTCTCCTAAAAATTCTGTGGTCATCTTTGTGACACATAACTTAGCAAGTGGCTGCATGAGTCCCCAGCTGATATCCCAGTCCACTGTGAATAAGCCAGCTAACTCAAATGGAAGAAGGAAATTTACAGTACGTGAAAAAAGGGACTGGCCACTTGGGAGGAATATAGGAACATTGTCAGGGTATGTAGGGATGCAGTAAGAAGGGCTAAGGACTTCTTGGAACTAAATCTGCCAAATAATGTAAAAGACAACAAGGGCTTCTTCAAGTATGTCAGTAGCAAAAGGAAGACTTAAGAAAAATGTGGGCCTGCTGCTGAATGAGGAGGATGCAGAGAAAGCAGAGTTACTGAATGCCTTTGCTTCAATCTTTACTGCAAAGACAGGCCCTCAGGAATCCTAGTCCCTGGGGGTAAGAGAGAAGGTCTGGAAGAAGGAAGATCACTTGGCACATGAGGATTGGGTTACATATCATTCAGGCAAACCCAGGAGCCCTGATGGGTTCCAACCACAAGTGCTAAGGGAGCCGGCTGCTGTTACTGCTACGACACTCTCCACCATTTTTAAAAGATCACGGAGAATAGGAGAGGTGCCTGAGGACTGGAAGAAAGCCAATGTCACTGCAGTCTTCAAAAGTGGCAAGAAGGAGTACGCAGGAAATTACAGTCCAGTCAACCACATCTCCACCCCTGGAAAGGTGATGGAATAGCTCATTCTGGAGGCTATTCTCTAAGCTTGTGGAGGAAAAGATTATCAGGAGGAGTCAGCATGGATTCACCAAGGGGATACTGTCTACATCCACTTCAGCAAGGCTCTGGACACTGTCTCCCATAACATCCTCATAGGTAAGCTCAGGAAGTGTGGGTTGGATGAGTACACTGAGGTGGATTGAGAAATGGCTGAACAACAGAGTTCAAGAGTGTTGCGACCAGCAGCACAGAGTCTGGGTGAAGGGGAACTAATGAAGTTTAAAAAAGGGCAAGATTAGAGGTCTGCACAGGGAGGAATAACCCCATGCACTAGTACAGGTTAGGGGTTGACCTGCTGGAAAGCAGCTCTGCATGAAGAACTCTGGGAGTCCTGGCAGACAGCAAGATAACCATACGCCAGCAGCGCACTTCTGTAACCAAGACGGCCAACAGTATCCTGGGGTGCATTAAGAAGAGTGCGGCCAGCAGGTTGAGGGAGGTTCTCCTCCCTCTCTGCTCTGCCCTGGTGAGGCCCCATCTGGAGCGCTGTGTCCAGTTCTGGGGTCCCTGGTTCAAGGGAGACAGGGAACTACTGGAAAGAATCCAACGGAGGGCTACGAAGAGGGGAATGGAGTCTAACTTATGAGGAAAGGCTGAGAGAGCTGGGCCTGTTTTGCCTGGAGGAGACTAAGAGGGGATCTTATCAATGCCTATCAGTATCTAAAGGCCAAGTGTCTAGACGATGGGGACAGACACTTTTCTGTGGTGCCCAGTGACAGGACAACAGGAATAAACTGGAACACAGGAAGTTCCACTTAATCATAAGTAAAACTAGTTTACTGTGAGAGTGACAGAGCCCTGGAACAGGTTGTCCAGAGAGCTTGTGGAGTTGCCTTCTTTGAAGACTTTCAAAACTTGCCTGGCTGCGATCCTGTGCAAGCTTCTCTAGGGGAATGTGTTTTGCCAGAGGGGTTGGCCTAGATGATTTCCAGAGGACCCTTCCAATCCCTACCATTCTGTAATTCTGTGATTTCTCATTCACATTGCCATGCAACACAGAATCAGGAATAATACTGGTGGCACTTTCAGATTTCATGACAACACCCTTGTCACTACTTATTATTCTGAAGTGGATTTAAATATTACAGGTAGTAAAGTTCATTGGATCTTCTCAAATATGTGCATTGGACTACTGACTGAAGAAACCCTTCACAAAATCTAGCAGCATAAGAAAGGCTTAAAAAAAAAAATCTAAGCTGAATTCTTACGTACACACTGACACAAACTTACTGAAATGCACACTAAAATCTTAGCTTAAGTGGAGCAATGTAAAAAAACGGGGTAATGCACGTCTTATATTCACCACATAGAATCATAAAATTGTTCAGGCTGGAAGGGACCTTGAAGACCATCTATTTCCAACCTTGCTGCCATGGGCAGGGAGACCTTCCACTAGATCAAGTTGCTCAAAGCCCCATTCAACATGACTTTGAACACTTCCAGGGAGGGGGCATCCACAACCTCTCTGAGCAACATTCTAGTGTCTCACCAACCTCACAGTAAATAATTTCTTCCTAATACCTGGACTAAATCTACTCTTTCAGTTTGAAACCATTATCCCTCATCCTATCACTACAAAGCCTGATACAGAGCCCCTTCCCATCCTTTCAGTAGACCTCCTTTAAGTACTGGAAGGCTGCTACAAGGTCTCCTCAGAGCCTTCTCTCCTCCAGCTCTCTCAGCCTATCCTCATAGGGGAAATACTAAAGTTCCCTGATCATCTGGTTTCTGTTTAGCCACGTGGTTGTGTTAGTCTACTCCAATGTTTGACAAAACAGAAACCAAAGAACAGAGCATATCATAGTTTATATTTTGCCTCAAAGCTCCACATATTGGTCATCTTACTCAATTTCTAGCAAGAACTCATCAATGTCAATGACCATAGCACATAGAGAAGACCCCTTTACATGATACAGGCCAAGCGACATTTCTCTTTACCTTGAAATGTGCTTATATTTGAACTGCAAATCTGGAGTCAAAACTGGAGGCGAGTCAAAGAAGACAGACATCAATACAGAGCATTAGAGAATGCACGGTAGAATTTCTCTTATTTGTAAGGACAGCAATCAGCAAAGAGAGAAAAGAAAAACACGGAAAACAGGTGCTACGATGACGAACAAAACTCTCCAGCCTTAACTGCTCAAATGGAAGTTGAGTGCTTTTTGTGTTGCTGGAGAGTCTGACTGTTTTGAACACACACGCAAAGTCCACACTGACACGTGCAAGTGATTTCCATTCTTTGCCTTCTTTTGACAAACTTCATCTAGCAACACCCCTTCCCTCCTGAACTGTACTTTGAAAAACCTCAGAAACACAAGCTTCCACAAACACTTTGTTATATATTGTCACATTACTCAGTTGTTTGAATTTCCCTGAAGCATTAAAGAACTGCTTGTAGTGACCCACAACATGTAATGAGACACACAAAATAGTTCTGCAACAAAACAGCAAGTCTTAGCATTTACAGTCATTCTGAGATTGATACAGAAGAACATATTCTTGCAAACCAGTCTATTTGCTGTGCTACAACACCTTCAGTTTGCCATAAAACAAGTTATTTAGTACAAATGACAGCAGACACCTCACAAGAACAGGCACGGTAGGTCAGAGTAAAGGTATAACAGCAAAACCAAATAGTAACTTTCAGTAGAAGGGTAGTCACGGCCCTTGTAATATAGATTAGGAACCTATTCAGTAACAAAGCAGTATCTTCGTGTTTAAAAATCTCTGGACCAAGTAAAACAAGCAAATAAATGCTTCAAGTCTCATACCACCTTGAACTTTGAGGACACAGAATCCTGAAGTAGCTATTTGACAGCTTGACTGAGCACTATCAAGAAGTGCTATGAAGAGAATTTGTTATGAGGGATAAGGTAATAACTGGCAAAATAATAATAGTGACATATTAAGAAGCATCTAAACAAGGTCATAACTGTGTAAGTTGAAGAGAAACTCAGGCTCCGATACTGCACCTTCCTGGCTGAAGTTCTCCCCATGGAATTCTGTTGACAGCAAACCAGTGCCCCTGGAAAGATATGTGTTCACAAAGCCAACTCCTAGCTAAAAACCCACATTTGAGCTGAATTACATAGCAGCTTTGAGAGCTAAACAATTTTAGTATTCCAAAGTCTACAAAGGTGTAAAGTCAGCTATAATCAACTCCGTATTAGCCCTTCACTGAAACAGACTTTTCTTTTTTCCTCTTTACTTCTTTTTGCTAAATGAAACTAGAGAACTCCCTCCTGCACCTCTACAGGGAACAGGGGGAGCCCTTAACTTTTAGCTACTTGAGCTACTTGCTGTGTATTATTGCTATGAAAACTATCACTAAGATTAGACACCAATGTTTAACTAGTTCTGAAAGGTAACAAATACAGAAATGCAACAGGAACTAGTATTTAAGATTTCAGTGCACAAGGATAGCATTTTGCTACAAATAACATGGCTTCAAATTCAGTTTTCACGCAGAAAACTCATTTACAAAGATTAAAAGCTTTTATTTACTTTTAAAAACTTATTTTATTTTTCATCTTCAAGTATTGTAAAGTACTTTCTCCCTAAAATTAAAGGACAGTTTAAGAAGAAAGCACAGCTTCTGTAACATTTATTTTGCAAGGGACAATTAATGTCAAGGACAAGAGGTATACCTACATTTACTGTAGCCTTGTCAAGCTCTGCTTCGGAAGATGTAGGTGATAGGGGACTTATAGGACTTAGAGAGGGGGAGCTGTCCACACTAGAAATGTAGTCTGGGTCAGGAACATACAAAATCTATAAAGAAGATATAATGTAGTTAGAATTTATGCTTTCAGGTTTACTTTAGATTTCCCACCAGTTCAGGTATATTTGCTTTGCTTTCTCAAAATAAGCTATGTAAAAACATTCCTGCTCCTGTCAATTTTAACAAAATATATGAGCTGAGGGAATAAACAATATCATGCAAAGTACTTCTTAATTTTAGCTTTTAGAGCTTTAAAATGCTATCTTAAGATTGATTTTTAGATACAATAATTGAGGAAAAAGTTCAGACAAAAAGCATTACAAGTATACAGCATCCAAGAAGCATCTGCCCAATCATTGCTCTTGCTATTACTCTACTATTTGAGCAACAGCTAAAGTTACTCATCCCTTAAATACATTACTTGGGCCATGTTAGGCATTCAAGCTACCTAGAAAAAGCTTTTCAACAATCAGAAATAAACAGAATTTTTTCAAACAGAGGGATAATACCAAATGGCCCATGGTTAATACCATAAGTTGGTCTATCACCTGTTTCCAGGCCTGCCTTTCAAAGAGAAGCTAAAAGGGAAAGCAGAAAATGCAAAGAAAAATGGTGTAAACAATAGTGACCTATAAGAAGTGAATGATAGCTCATATACTGCTGGTAAAGACAGCAAGTTTTCAGTGTGGAATAAAAACATTAATCAATTTATTAAAATAAATTTGCAGGCAGTAATATGCAATCAGGAATGTTGTTTGTAAGCTGCACCCTAAATTTGTCTTCTGAGTTACAGTTAGTAAACAGTCTGTTATATGTGCAGAGTAACAATTTAGCTTGTATCCAAGTGTTATTGTATCATTAAGTATATTTAGTTTTAAAAGTTCTCTGATCTTTAAGAGACACAGGTAGTTTCACTATATGTTCCCTTCTTAAGCAGTTATTTAATAGGCACAAGGAATTCACAAACTAGAGAAAAATGAAAAACTCTTACAAAGCCAATAGGAAAACTAGTAAGAGAAGTACTTTAACACTTTCTCTGGTAGAGATGAGAAATATAGTGGAAAAGGCCTTTGTTGAATAAGTAACATATATAACGTAATAATACCTGTCCAGGAACGACTGCTCTGGAGAAAAGTTTATTTAACTGAACCAGTTCATTTGGTGTAGTATCAAATTTCAAGGCAATACTGTTTAAAGTATCTCTTGATTCCACCTGTATCAATTGGAGGACAAAAAAAAAAAAAAAAAAGAAAAAGAAAAACAAACCTGTAAGCAGTTAGTTCAAATAGTGGCTTACAAATCTTATCACATGTGTATTTACCAAGATTTTGGTGACTTTTAAGTCTTCATATCTTAAGACTGCCACAAAAAGAAAACCCACCCAAACATCAGAAAAAAAACAGAACACCCCCCAAAAAAACATACCTACACCCTAATTATGAGTCTATTTCAACTCCATATAAGGATACCTGCTTGCTCACTATGTATCCCAGTAGCCCAAGGTGTCAGTCACACATCCTGAGCCATGGGCTCAGCTACTGCACCAGAACTTCAGGTCTATAAACACACTGTTGGGTATGACTGAACTGGTGCACAACTGACTGGTTTCACACAATCCTTCAGTCTCTCCTCAACTCTGCCCTGTTTTCCACTTACAGAAAAGCTGAAGCAATCTTGATAAATACAACACACTCTCTTTCTACTAAGGTAAGCTTCTGTTAACCTGACTTTCAAGTAAAATCCATCACTGAGCTAAAAAGCAAAAATACAGGAGTAAAACAGGTCAACCAGGATGACAGCAGATGGAGCATAAGCATTTTGAGTAGGCGAATTCCAAGTAAGAAAAGGATTTTTTTCAAGCTCTTCTTTTCAGGCCCATGTCCCCAGATATATTCAGTATGGACCAAGAGAAGAAAGAAAAGGAAAACACTTTTATTCACAGAGAGTATTTCAGAATAAAGAATTCATAGCAAGCACTGATACAAGGGAGCATCCAACCAAAAGAAGTGTATTGCATAACTGCACAGAGTTTCATAAACACTGTACCAGGCAAAATAAATCTTCTCAGTTCAGAGAAGATGAAGCAATATAAGCAAAGCTATGTTTGTGTTGCTAAATATGGAGCACAGCTAGAAAAAAAATCCACCAACTCCTGTCTTAAATGACATCACATCGCCCCTCTTATTAGATCTAGAGAAGTTATGCAACTTCCACTCTAGACAAATAGTATTAAATTATTCAGAGTTTTACATACTTAACTTTTCTTCACGATTACAGGAAAGAATGCTTTTTCTTTTAAATTCCCTTTATTTTATTTCGAAGGGAAAAGTTGGGAAGGGAGGCAAAAAGTGAAATATAAACTGACATTTTTCTTCACATAGTGTATGCTCTACACACAAGTGTTTTGAGAAAGTCAGTAGATACTTTTAGCTGGCTGTACACACACTAGGCATCATCCACTCTTCACTAGCTTCCCTTAACAAAAATGCAGGAGCATTATGCTTTGTGTGCCTTGTCAGTTGTTGCTGGGCTTAACCATAGATATCTTTTACTTCTGCTTGAATGTTGAACTGAGGCAGAAAAAAACAAACAAACAAACAAACAAAAAACCACAAACCAACAACCAAACACAAGGGTAGGGCTATGGGAACGAAGAAGTCTCCAAGCATAGATGCTTTAATAGCTTTTGGTACTCCTTGCTCTGAGAGTACACCTTGACCTTAAGCAGTCACACAGAAAGGGGCAGCATTTGGAACCAAAAGACTAGACTGCTCCATTTCTGTGACCACACTGCACTGGAGGGAAGCAATAAGACCTCCATGGGGCTAGTCTGCTTCCAGCTGTGCTCTGCTGTGGACTGCTGCAGTGGCATTAGTATGTTCCATGCAATTAACAAGCATTATATGTTTTGCTGTCAGTAGAATGTAACACAGCACCTTCATTCTTCACTGAAGTAGCAAACATTTTGCCAGAGTGGAAGAATATGTATCTAGAGGTTATAGTGTCAGTTAATATTGGGTGATTTAATAACTTCAGACATTTTATTTGCATTGTGAGAATAGCTGGCAAACAGAATTTGTATTGGCTGCAAAGCAAAAGCAGCATATAAAACATTAAATAATTACTCCTCAAAACACATTCCCTCTTAAACATTCTAAAACTTAACACTGAAAAGAACGTTCATTCCAAGCAAGTTTAGGAAAAGAAGTGTTTTCTCTTTATTAACTTTTTTGAATGTTATGTCATGTTACAGAACACATGTTGGCAGTGCAGGAGTAAAAGAAAGTATAACTGACATAAAGAAGTAAACTGTATCCTTTAAATAGAGAAGTGGGTTGTGCTGCAAGAAAGTGCTATAAATATGATGTACTTTGAAGGCTGTTATACTTCAATAGATTAAAAGAGTGCAATTTAGGATACTAACACAATTAAAAGTCACAAGTAAGAGTTAAAGAATTCTGTATGGAAATAGTAAAGGTGCTTTTGTAAGCCTAGGTTCACAAAAGAAAAAAGATGAGTATTGCCAAAGAAATACCAAATGGCTTTTTTAAGATAAATTTCCAACTCTCACAATTTTTTTATACAGGAAGCCATTAAGCTAAACAAAGCAATAAACACCTCTACCTCTCTAGTAGTATTACAGGTATGAAAGACTGTACTGTAGTACCTCTTGGTAATTCAGTACTGTGTGATCACACAGAAATGTAAAAAAAAAAAAATAAAATATTCTTATATGCCTCTTAACTGGTACTAAAACAAAAATCAAAACAGGACCCTAATCTGATCAATATCTGCAATATACTGCTTGTTCCACAAATGATAAAAAACTGACAACCAAATCCAGGAACAGCAGTGTTTCCATCAGAAGCTCTACATAACACAGAAGGGTTACTAAAGCTGTAGTGAGATTCCAAAGCTTTGCTTGTTTCACAAGTTTGCTCTCACAAAGAATATTGGAGGACAACACTTAGCTGCTAGAGAGATACTGCTGTGGTACCTCTTGATGACTGAAATAATTGAGATTTTAGACTAACTTATGATATTACATAAAAATAATTAAAAACATTAACTTAAAAACCACAGATCTTAATCCTCTTAAGGGTGCATTCCCTCTTTTCAGCCTTCAGAAATAAAATCATCTGGTGAGATATCCTAGTAGCTAAAGGGTTTATCTCACAAATCATGAACACAGGAGTGGCAGATACAAAATTCCTTTTTTTTTTTTATTTGGCTGTTTGCACAGGCAAATCTCCAGATTACATGGAGTTTCAGAGACCAGCATCTATGTCTCTTAAAATTAAAAAAAAAACAAAACGCAACATCCCACTGTTCATGTAATAAAGACTTCTTGAGGCATCTCGCTATATTCAGAGGCCTGTTCTCAAATTCTCAGGCTTTCTACTAAAAAAAAAAAGGAAAACTGAACAGCCAAAAGCTGAAAGAAAGTGCAGTTTAAGAACTAACAAATTAAATGCTCCATCACATCCCATAGCCACCCCCCAGATTTTCCAATTACTTTTCCCACCATTCATTCTATACTGGAAGAGGAGGTAAAAAGTCATTCCTTCCCACCCATAAAACTAACTTCCTATACATTATGCATGTAGCTATTTAAATGCTATTCTGAATATTAAGAATTTTACATACATATTTGGATATTAAAGCACTACACAGAATCTTCATGAGAAGACTTCCCCTTTTGAGAAGGAAGGGGAATGATGAACAGTGACTGCACTGTTTCATGACTTTAACAGAATAGCAAGATTTGTTCCAGTACAAGTAAACCTTTGAAAAAACAACCAGCAGACATGTGAAAACACTGTTTTACTCCCCAAAACAACTAGAAATGGGAGTTGAACAGTCCAGCTGGTGCCTTGAAGTGGTTCAACACATCACACATGGGTTCTGCTTCCCTCAGTGCACTGACTTGAGTAGATACTGATTAATGAAAACTTACGAAGCAAATAAGAATTGCTTATTCAGGACTCTACTAAACTTAACACACACAAACTCTGCTTTGTACAGTAGCCTCTGTGGAAAAAAAGCTTCTCAAAGTGTAAGTAGCTGCCCTACACTCCATAGTAAGAGCTTCTACTCATCAACAACTCTTATGTAGAGATAAGAAGCTTAAGACCTTATTATCTAGTTAACTGCTACTTTACATAGTCACTTATGTATGTATACAAATAAGTCAGAATTCTAAGTCAGCTAAAGTCAGTTTTTACAGATATGACTAGATAGTCGCTTAGGATCCATACCTTCTGTCTTCCTTTTCCAACAAAGTCTCAAATCAAACACTCTTCAAATCATTGTGTCCCCACTTGAGCAGAGGTACATCCCATTACCCCTTTTCCACTGACAGTGTAGCACCTACACCCCCATGGCTGCTGGGTGTGCTTGCACGCACCAGGCAACAAACAGCTTCAGAACCACCACTGACTGGCGTTCAAACCGCACTCACTGCTGCCACAGGAGCAGCTGGCAAAGTTATTCTAAAAATCTTATTTAAAACCAAATTCTCTATTGATATTTTAATGAACTTCCCTGTCATCACATCTCAACAATTAGACTTCACTCATTCTTCCATGAAAAATTACACTTGAACACATATGAAACAGAGTGCACAAAGAATTACTTACTTTTAAGTATTTCAAGACTAGTTGTCCAAGAACCAGAAAACAAAACAATAATTTAAGAGTATTAAAAGAAACTAACAAAATTAAAGAGATGGTAAGACTAGAAGGAGAGGTGAGGACAATGAGGAGAAGAGTACACAACAACAAGTTTGCAATTTTACTCAAGCCTTTAGAAACAGCAGATTATAACTACAGTAATTGTTAATAAGCCTAATTTCTATAATATGCAACATCAGAAGAACACAACTTGTAAACGCCATTAAAGCAAATTCAAAAATAATTTCAAACTTGTGTAAAAGATGCAACTGGTAGAATACGTCATCATTATGATCCACATCTTCTGAATTCCCCAGAATTGGGAAAGGCTGTGACAGTGGCATGCTCAAAAGAAAGTGACAGTCAGACAAGAACACAATCCTGGGCTTTGAAATGGAAGAACTAAGAAAAATGCAAAAACTCCAAGTGTTTTATAGTCTGAACAGCATGTAAAGCCTTCCAATGGTAATAAAACCGGTCACACCAGAACAGAGAAGAACTTTTAGCACTCTCTATCCAATCTATCCTAGGATTGAAAGCAAAACCTACAATTATTCTAGAAATGTGTTAGTACATTCCCACCATTTACGTACTCTAAAACATGTTCAGCAAGTCATTGTAACAAGAAATCCCATATATTTGTATGGGTTCATAGTGAACTTTTCACCTGTTTGATGGTCACCACAAAAACACTTGCCACCCACACCCCTTGAGCTCAGAAAGAACAAAAGGTTCCTACTCCCCCTTACCTTAGAAAGCTGATTTCAGCAACCCCTGTAGTTTTGTACTCAGTATACAGCTCTAACTCGTTGCTAATTAAAACAAGAGTCCAGACCCAGTTTCTAGATGTGGGACTTACCACTAAATAACGAGGAAAAGACCACACTCAGGAAGACTGGTAGGTCAACAGGGGACTCTGACTTTAAACTCAGTCTTAAGACTGATCTACTTGCTCCTCTCACCATCCGCACAACATACTCTGTGCTCATCTGCTATTTCAGGAGAAAAGTACAGCTTTTGATTCCCAGAGAGTTAAAGGGGAGGGAGTGGGGCAGGGAAAGGGAAGTCCTGCATTGGAGCCTCCAAGATTGATAAACCAGATTATCTGCCTCCAATTGCTCTCTTGTAATTTAGAAAAAACAAACAATAAAGTAACCCTATGTATCCTATTACACCTGAAGAAAAAAAAGTATCCGTACATAACCACTACTTTCTTTTTCTCCTTAAAAGGAAGAGGGTTTAGAAGACTTTTGTTGGCTCTCTGCTTATGCTCCTTCATTTTTCTCTAACTGCCTCTTCAAACACCTGTAGGCAGACACTGGTTGTGTTGGTACAATATGTAACACAAAAGATGGCTAATGTTATGTTAATATAATGAAGTTATGTCAAATAGGCACTGGAAGAATGCTTATAATGATTCACCTAAGCTATTTGCTCTATTGGTCCTTAGAGCCTGTTCACATGCATCAGTTGCATTTGAAATAATAGATAGTAGCAATTTACATTTAATTTGTTGACTGACATTCAGAAAAAGAGAAACTATATTATCTTAAAAATCTGTTCACTGGCTAAGCAATAACAGTGAAAATAAACTAGAGTTTTCTGGATCCTTTAGAAGCAGTTTAGAACTTGCTTCCTCCACTTAGTACATCTGTTGACATCTTCTCACCTGTACTACACACAAAACAGTAGTTCCAAGTTTTTATGCTTTGAGAATTTTAGATTAAAATATTTAACATTAACTGCTTTTTGGCTTCAACCTTAAAGAATAATAAAAATAAGTTTTATTGTTATGATTTTCTTTTTAAAAAATTTCTGGTGGGAAGTGTATTTCACCTTAAAAAAACACAGTTTGCATCAGTGAGATTCCATCGCGCTCCAACCTTCAGGAATACAAATAAGCCTTTCCCTGCTAAAACCATGTGGCCACTGGAAAAATTAATACTTTAAATCATTATTAAAAACAAAGCAAAACCCACCAGTTTTCAACAATATGGAATCGAGGAAGTCTGGTTTTTCCCTTCATCCTTCTACTACTTCTCAGAGCAACAACACATTCAGACGTAAATACATGTGTAGATATGTGTGTGTGTTGTTGCTTGCAGAGGTAGTAGAATAAAGGCAGAAACCAGATGTAAGTTCATCTCTTCACATTGGATAAAGTCTTAAATAATAAAAGCTGGAATCTTACATACCAAGGTAAACGCACATACATGGTGACAAGAGACAAGTTAAGGGGTCTACTGACTGAAGAGGAACCCCAGTTTTACAGAGCTACATCTGCACATTTTTTTTTTTTTTCAAAGTGAGTGAATACAATAAAAACAGTCACACTTACTTTACCATTCTTTAGCTGTTAGAACCTAAGCAGCACAAGTTTCATTCCTGAATTTCAAGAAGTCTTCAATATAGGCTAGAATTGTATTAAAATTCTCAATAAAAGTCACACTCATGAAGTGCTTCTCACTCCAATACAGACACCCTCAAGCCTCACTCCAAATAGTCTTTGCAGTAGTTAAGTCATCACTTGGCTTAATGTAACATTAAGAGTTAAAGTCTCCTCCATATCCCTTATTCTTGGAATACGAAAACACCAAGAGGTCAAAGAAAAACTTTCTGTGAAGAAGTTTTTTTATTTTATCAAGTCCAGCTTCAAAAGCATTCAAAGATAACTCTCATGGACTTGCTCTATTTTAATGTCAACCCTACAATCATTATTTATAGGCTTAATTATATTTCTAGTACATAACACAAGACAGACACTTCTCATTTCAGTTTCCCTTAGTAACCACAAATGTGAAAAGCTGACTGCAGCACAGTTTGAGGGTCATTTCAAGAACAGAACAAGCAGAAAAAGGCTCCATTTTCAGATACTGCTGCAAAAAGCGATCGGTACAGTAAAAGGTAGAGATCTATGAAAATTATTAGGAGAATGACAGAAGTTCAGTATCAAGATATAGCTTCCCCCCCAACTTCATTTTATTCTTTCTCCTGATGTTAACAGTTTCTTAATAATACTGAAAGCAATGAATTCATGCATTATTTTATAAGTAGTATTATTTATTGTTTCTAAACAGTTACCTAAAACTGAATCTCTCAGATGGATTAGCTTGAGGTTTTTTTAAGGGAAAAAAGAAAAGTAACTCAGAGGGGAAAAAAAGCATTACTCAAGTACTACTAGGTAATTCCTGATTTAATTCCTGTCAAAATAAGCTATCAGATACACAGAATTCTAAGATTAAAAGTAATACACATTACTCTTTTGCTTGTATTTTGTAATGAAACTAAGTCTGCACTTGCTATGCAATGACATTCTAAAACAAAGCAGTAACTTACAGAATATTCAATAGTCCCTCTAGGTTTTTGAAAAGACATTCGCCGCCCATCTTTCTTGTCTGCGGTCTTCTTCTGGCCAGCATCTGAAAAAAAATGAGGCAACGTGCATGTTAAATTCATTTTTCTCTCTCAGCACTGTCACAGTCTGGTGAGTACAGCCCTGTGGGCAGGCACTTAATTTGCCAGTTGCATGGTTTGCTCCCAGTGACTAACAGACAGCTGCTAGAATAGGGGCTTCGCTTCTCTGCAGTGCTTTAAGAATGTGACCAATATAAACCACTGATAACTGGAAATCAACTAACGGCACAAGTCCTTGCTGCTATTCAGAAAACTATTAATAAAAGAAGACTAAATAGGAGAGTGACCCGATTGGGCAAGCAGCATTTCTGGGACATCTGTGTTTAACTGGTTTTGTATCATCCTCTGTCTGCTGGCATCCAGAGGGCAGATGATCCTGTATGCTTGATCTAATCAGCTGGGATTTTGTTACTGTTGAAGAACATAGTATTTAAAGCTTTTTTTTTTTTTTTAAATAAACTGGAGCATTACTGTTTAACTCCAAAATTATTCTGGCTGTAGCAAACACATACAGCCTGTACATAAACATTAAAGATTTTAAATAAATACCACAAGGTAAGAACTGTTCTTTTCATTGAGGCAGTGGATTTTGACGACCTCCACTTCGTAGGCCAAATCAACAACGATTTGTACCTGAAGTATACTCTACTTTTTTATAGTAACTGGCTTAATATTAATGATAAAACCAACACAACAGTGTACTTACATAGTTCAACATAAAATGCTTAATTCTCCATATCTAGAAAAGTTTGGACTATTTTAACATTTACATTTATACAAACATGCATTTCTTAGATTAATCTCTGAAGAAGCCAGGTTTCTGCCACAAGGCCTCCACCTTCAACAGTTAAAATACCTGCTACTGAGGAGCCCAAAATACTTACGTGAACGAGATAAACATTAAGTTTTCATGCTACAATGGGATTAGTTATACTCCTATTTTGATAAATTCAAATTTCTGCTACCATAACTGAACATATTTAGTCAAATATTTAAAACTAAATTGAATAGAAGAAACAAACCTGATAAAATATATTTTTTCAAAAATATTTTAGCATGGATAGATTGAAAATTGAAAACGTATTGGGTTTATCTTTTTAAGCCTCACCTAAGGTACTAAGGAAACTTGCTATAAATTGGCAGCTATTTCTGTGCATTATTATTTTTAATTAGTATCCTGACTGCAACACCGGAAAAGAGACCAGACAAATACTTGCACAAATTTCATTTACCCCCTCCCAAATTTCTACATTGATAGTTGAAACTACCACTATATGAGAGAGGGGAAAAACAAACAAACAAAAAACCCCACAACATAAATCACAGAGAACTTTCTGCAGTGCTAAAAAATAACAAACAAAATATTGCTAACAAAAAAATCCTCAACAAATATCTTACATTTGCTATACAGGGCAGGCTGCAGAGGACAAAAATAAAAGTGATTTCTAGCAGATTCAATGTAAGTACACTCCTGGTGTATTCTTTGTAGAATAAGCAAATAAACATTAGACTAATTCTACTTCTTTTAGACATTGAAAAAAGTCTGAGGTAGAATGCTCCCATACTCGTAAGATAAAAATTGATCTATAGGCAGAATTAATTATGTTAAGTTTTTATAGCTATGAACGACAGTCAAGACTTTAAGTCTACTTTTCACAGCTTTCTAGAAATGCTGAAAAAATCTGGACATTATTTCTGCATCCTGCTATCTTCATTCAATACACTAAAGGTATTTCTTCCCTTATTTACTCATTGCCTTCTAAAGACCTATCTAAAAAGCCTTTTTATATCAGATTATATAACAGTTTTAAAAGAAACTACAAACATCTCTAGGGGAAATTAAGCCAACTCAATAACGAATAAAATGTCCTAGAAGTTTGTGTGTAGACTTAACAGTAGCCAACATTCTTCTCTTCCAGGTCATATATTTTGCTACCAGAGTTTCTACCTGAGCTTACAACACAACAGGTGCCTCCTCAGCAAGCTACAGAAAAACTGGAACAAGCTGCTTGACTGTAGCTGTTCCAAATTTTTCAGCCCACATTAAAGCTTTGCCAGTAGTCTAGTAGTTTTTCTTTCAATGGCAGTCTGGTTCAAATACTCCTAAGCAAAAGTCAAAGGGTGCAGCTTAAGAAAGACTGATCTCATCCAAGATCGCACACATACCTTAGCCTATACAAGGAGTACCCCTATTGTATAACAATCACCTTCTTCCTCTGCCTCCCCCTCTATCAGATAGAAATAAAGCCCCATATTACAAATGGACAGACGCACTTCATTTGTGTATAAGCCCAATGTTGGTTTTTTTATAACAATTTTTTTTATTCTTCTTCCTAGTTCATGTCACTTGGACCCTAAGTGTTCAAAGAACTTGCAGACAGGTGCCACTCAAGAGGTCAAGATACCTTCTCTCTCACCCAGTAACTGAACAGTAGAATAAGGCCTTGCACAAATAATCACTTCTGTTCCTTCTGCCAGGAAAAAAAAAAAAAAGAAAAAAAGAAAGTAAGTTACTTGTTCTTCAGGGCAGAAGGACCTGCTGCTTTAGACTTCAGAGCACTCTGGTAACTTCAGGAAAGTAGGAGCAACCAGGGCATAGGGGTTGGAGGCACTTGGTGTGAAGCAGAAGCCAGGAGAAATCCTACCACAAATTCTCCAGGATCTTATAAATGCCATCCCCTCCCATGCCTAAACCAGCAATTCCTACCCTTTCCGCCAGCACCGAGCCTCACTCCTTCCCCCTGTGAGGGCATCGTTCACCCCAGGGTCCGGTGGCCACCGGACTCGGCTGTCACAGCCAGCTGCGGCGGTGCCCCGGGAGGAGC